TTTGAAGAGATGAAAACAAATTACATAAAATTTCATTGGAAAACTGGTGAATAAGAGCATCGGTAATGGTTTGGATAGCATGCACAACATAGGCCGAATGTGCCACAGTATTAAATGGCTGGTAAGGGAACAATTGCAAAGCTAGAATGGCTGCAGTGAGTTCAGCACATTGAGTGGTTAAATTATAGTGGAAATAGAGTGCTCCCAAGTTTCTTATTGTTTCCAAGTGACTACCCCTTTATTACATTTTCCTGACCCATCAATAAACATAGTGAAGACATTGAGTATAATTGTAGAGGAAATTTGATTAAATTGAGTCAGAAGGAAAAGCTGGAATTCATATATATATTTTTGTTTGTTTGTTTGTTTATTTGTTTTTGTTTTTGTTTTTTGTTTTTTGTTTTTTTTTGTACAGACAGTCTCACTTTATCGCCCTTGGTAGAATGCTGTGGCATCACACAGCTCACAGCAACCTCCATCTCCTGGGTTTAGGCAATTCTCTTGCCTCAGCCTCCCGAGTAGCTGGAAATACAGGCACCCGCCACAATGCCTGGCTATTTTTTTGTTGTTGTAATCTCACTATGTCATCCTCAGTAGAGTACTGTGACGTCACAGCTCACAGCAACCTTGAACTCTTGGGCTTAAGCAATTCTTTTGCCTCAGCCTCCTGAGTAGCTGGGACTACAGGCGCCTGCCACAAGAGCCAGCTATTTTTTTGTTGGTGTTTGTTGATTTTAGCTGACCTGGGCTGGGTTCGAACCTGCCAGCCTCTGTGTATGTGGCTGGCGCCCTACCCACTGAGCTACAGTTGCCACCCCATTCTGCTTCTTGGCACTATGTTGGTAAAAATATGATTTTCCAATATGCATCTGATGAATTACATCAGAAAATGATGTATGACGAGAGATTAGATAGCCTCTTTTTTGTTTCTTAATTTGCTGGCAACAAATCAATTTAAATTATGTTTTTGGTGCTTCAAGCTTAGTAAGCTTAAAGCTGAGTAAGGACCCAACTGTTTTGTGTTCTCAAATATGCATCTCCAAGTTGAAGATAGGTTTCACCAGGCCATAATGTGATTGGTAGTATTAAGTGCCATACTTTTTCTGTTTTAACCTTTCTGCTGCATGCTGATTAAATAGGAACAACACCAGTTAAACAAAATGATTAAAAAATAGAAATTAGGCTTCAGTTGGAGCCTTTTATTTAGGAATAAAACAAGGAATTATCATCATTAAAAATCAAAGCTACAGGAGCTTTAGTCCTATATAAGGAGTACCCTAAATTTTCATAAAATAGTTATTGTTCAGAAAAATAGTCACTAATTAAAGGAACAACTAACTGAAGAAACACTTTAGTTCTCTACAAATTGTGCCTATCTCTTTTGTCACTGAGCTAGAGGTATATTTTCCATAGACCTGTTAAGACTATACCCATGGCAGATTGCTAAGCTGTATGTGTTCTCAGCAGCATGTCAGCGTTCCCTATTATTTTCTGTCATCACATATTTTAGTTTTTGAGTGGGTATCTATTGTACGTTGTCCTGTATTCCTTGTTGTGAATAACTTGGGATAAGTGCCTTTCCATCTTGGGACTCAGGTTCCTTTTGTGAAATATGAGGAGACGCAACTGTGAGAGTTCCTTCACAGATCCTGTGATTTCACATCCTACGATTTAACTGATTACTTATTAAACTGAATAGTTTTTATTTGATTTAGAGAAGAATAACAATACCTATAACACCCCCCTCCCCCCAAAAAAGGCAGAAAACAAGTACAGCATTCAGTAACAAAAATCTGTACTTTGGCTTGAATTTCTAGAGCTTATGTTCAAGTTTTTATGGAGATTGTGAAGGGATAAGGAGAATTTAGGGTGCGTTTACTCAGTGCCACCATTTGTTCTTTCTTTTGTATGCTCTTTAACCTGTGGGGAGGGTAATTTCTGTGTTTATAGAAGAAAAATATGAATCTCATGTTGTATGCAGTACGTAGTCCTAGACGGGACACCCGGGTCTTCTAACTTCCCGAGCTCCTTAGGAAGGACATATTGTCTCTGTATTTTGGTTTGGCATCAGACTACCACAGCACTTGGTATGCGTTGTAACTCTTCCTGTTTTATTCTTTCAGCTTGGATTTACTTTGGGCAACGTGGTTGGAATGTATCTGGCTCAGAACTATGACGTAAGTAGCCGTATCCACGACCTCCTTGCTTCCATGTAACTGTTTTAGAGTGACTTTTCTTTGTCAAGGTAAGGTGTGCCTTCCAACATAAATGAGGTTATAGGTCTGAGGAGCATGGCCTGAATATTGTAGAAAGGTTTACCACTGAAAAAAAATAATCCACCTCACAGAAGCGTTTGTCCTCTGTATCACCACAAGAGGGCAAAATCCCATCAGTCTAGGCGGTCTCATGTTGATCCCAAGCTGTGTTCATTACCCCAGAGTAATATATTAAGTTGGGTTCCTAAAATTCTATGGAAAATTATGTGGTAAGTGAGAATGTAAAGATTAATTGGATAATCTTTTCAGCCTCAGAACCAAGTAGTAGAGGTAACTGAGAATTTTGGAGATGATTATACATGATGTAACACATTTAAGGAGGATAGAGTTTTGTGAAGTAGGGAATTATATTAACATCACTTTGTATAGGGGGAAGATGGAAACCGGGTGGTACAGCTGCCCATAAATAGGGATCCAGGAATGGATCTCTGGATTTTTAAAATGATGAGCATGAGAAATATAGTATTCACTTTTGGTTTGTCATAAATCTTTCAGTTATGACAAAGGGAATTCCTTTTGTCAATATCAAAGGGATATTTTGCTTTAGTCTTATCAGTTTCTAGGCAGGGGCTTATATGTTCAACTTTTACTTGGCACTGGATTCAGGGGTGAAGTGGGTATGTAAAAGCAGAAGTTAGAACCTGCCTTTAAGAGAGGGAGGGAGCATACTTACAACTTTTAATGTTTTTTGTGTGCAGTTATGAGGCTACAAAAGTATTTAGCAGGTCTCTTTCAGAGGAAGATAAAAACTTATAAAACCATATCTTTGGGGGAACAGAAGTGAAAGAATATTGATTAGGTAGATGCAAAATTATAATAATGTTTTTTTCTTTTTAAAGATGCCTAACGTGGCTAAAAAACTTGAAGAAATTAAAAAGGACTTGGATGCCAGGAAGAAACCCCCTAGTTCGTAAGGCCGACTCCAGCACTGCCTTCTGGATACACTGATTCTCCTGCGTTTTAGGGCCGCCTTTACCATCTGAACCAAAAGCTCCAGCCGCAGCGATTTTCTTCTTTGCTAGACCCTGTGTTGCCTTAGAGTGAAAATGGGGCCCAGGTTAAGAACTGCCCTTACATTTCCAACACCCTTACCTTTTCCCATATCCTTCCAGCTGCATGGGAGAGTCTAAGACTGGAATTATGGTGCTAGATTAGTAAACATGACCGTTAATGAGTAGTCTCTTCCTTTATTCTTTGAGATTTCGATTCTACCTTTTATCAGAAGAAAAATTGGTGAGTTTTATATAGTTGATCAGACACAAATTATGATGATTTCAGTGTAGCCATTATAATGGGTGCTTGTTAAATATTTGGTATTAAATTATGTTGTTCCAAATTAAAATTAATATCTAGAAGCCAGTTTCTGGTGAATTATCTATTTATTTTATACTGTTGTTAGGCAAATCCATAGTTACTAATTTTACCAAATCAATTTGCTATTCATTAACTGAGGAACTATATTCTGAGAATCCTGTCAGAAACTGGAAAATTTAAATATATGCAAAATAATAGTCTTTGTCCCAGTAGCATTCATAGTCTATTGAGTATGCATGTTTTTCCTTAATGATGTATGATCTAACTCTTCCCTCAAAAGATTTATACTTGGGATTACAGATACATTTGCCATTATACAGTGGACAAGTGAGAAGTTGTGTATGAGAAAATTTTATGCCTTTTTGCATTAAAAAGGTAATTACATTTTAATTGTATAGTGATTCTCCTAAGAAAAGTATAACCCAAACGTATAATGAAATCAACATCTCAAGAAGTAGAATTTCTAGCCAAGAGCAGTTGGGGCACACCTGTAGTTCTATCTACTTTGGAGTCTGAGGCTGAAAGATTGCTTGAGCCTGGTAGTTTGATGGTTTTGAGCAACAGTGCAGGACCCTGTCTCTTTTTAAAAAGGGGGGGGGAAATTTCTGCTTATCTCTGCAATTAATGCTTTCTTTTCTTCCTACAATCAGAAATTAACCTTGTAATTGTCAAATATACTTTAATCAGCACTTTTTTTTTTATTTTTTGAGACAGAATCTTACTCTGTTGTCCTGGGTAGAATGCCATGACATCATCATAGCTCACAGCAACCTCAAACTCTTGGACTAAAGCAATCCTACCCAGTAGCTGGGACCATAGGTGCCTGCCACAATGCCCAGCTGTTTTTACAGATGGGGTCTTGCTCAGGCTAGTCTCAAACCCCCAGAGTGCTAGTGTTATAGGCATGAGCCACATTCCCAGCCAGCCCCCCATTTTTCTTGAATTAAAAAAATTTGAATGTGGCCGTGCCCTAGCTCATTGGGGAGGGCGTCAGTCACATCCACCCAGGCTGGTGGGTTTGAACTCAGTCTGGCCCAACTAAACAACAATGACAACTGCAACCAAAAAAAAAAAAAATTTTTTTTTAATAGGTAACTTCTCCCATGGATTAGGATATAAAAGGATTTTGTTTAAAGGACTTCTCCCACCTTGTTCTCTGGCTCCTAGCTTCCTGTTACCACTTTCCTCTGTACTTTTGAGAAAGAGTCTAAGCCTAAACAAACATGTATGCATGGATTTTTTTTTTTT